CTAGGGTTAAGAAGCAATCTCCCAAGAAAGGTGTGATGGGTGCACAGGGAGAGGCTTTACCTATTTTGGTGGGTTAATGGTAACAAGCTTGCTAATGATGTTTACCAAGTGAGAAAGGCGCCAGATGTCTGGATTAGCTGGAAAACTAATTGATTTCCTTGCAAAACATGATACCATTTAGTATTGACAGAATGTAATCCTAGAACCTCAGAAGGGTGTAAGGAAATCTTAGGCAGGCATCTAATCCATTGCTCTGGACTAGATGGAAGTTGGAAATTGAGAAATATTTATATAGATTAGCAACATTTAAAAACTTGGTTTTTGTGTGTGTGTTTTTTTTTTTAGAGAGAGTGGAGGGGGAGAGACAGAGGGAAATATCAACGTGAGACACATCGATTGGTTGCCTCCCACACGGGGATCGAGCCTGCAACCAAGGTATGTGCCCTTGACCAGAATCAAACTCAGGGACCCTTCAGTCTGCGGGCTCTCTCCACTGAGCCAAACTGGCTAGGGCTAAAAACATTTTTAAAGAAAGGAAAAAATAACCGGCAACCCGAAGAGCAGAAAGACTGCGTTTCTCCTTAGGGGAAAAAGCAATTCCTGCTATTCCAGAACAATCCAAGCCCCGGCATTCCACCTTCCCACACCCCCCTCTGGGGGGAGGGGGTTTCCTGGCAGGTGTCATCCTTGCAGGATGACTGGACGATGGCTGTGCCTGCTGGTGGCAGCAACAACTTTTCCTATAGAGGAAGCTGGGTCAACAGAGATGACCAGGACGAGAGGGCATTTCATAGATACCCGTCTCTCTTTATGGCCCCAAATCCCTGTGTATTAGGACTAAGCCTCTCCCTGGCTTCCTGCAGCCTCCTCTTCTCTCCGAGCAGCAGGGAGTCGCAGGGGCAAGGCTTGGTTTGAGCGAAGGCTCCCAGCCTCTCCCTCGGGGAGAAAGCGCATGTGCTCACTTTTTCCAGTGGTCTTTTCGGTCTGATTTAATGGGTATATCGGGACTGATGACACATCAGCATGGCATCTTTCTTTTGCTTCTTGAGTAAATGTCCTATTAACAGCTGTCCCAGGCCAGGGGATGGGGGTGTCGGGGGAAGGGAGGAGGGTAGCTTCCTGGGAGAAGGACACACCCTGGGTTTTACAAGGTTAATCAGTGGGTCCAGGGAAGGTTTGCACCTGCTCAGACTTGATCTGGAACTCTAGACAAGCGTGGAAGACAGTCTTCCGATCTCTGCTCCCTCCCGTGGAGTATTAAATATCCTGGGTGCCTACACCCCGACAGGCCTAATGGCTTGCTGCTGACTGACATTGTCTCTATAGCTATAGAGTATTCTCCTCAGTCCTTGCAACGGGCCAGCAATTCTTTGTCTTTCCTGTTCTCTTCCCACCTTTGGGTAATTGTTAAGCAGTAAACTTTTTCTAATCACTAATAGTAGTTCCTTTAACCTAACAACACAGTTCATAATCCCTCTCTCTCCCCTGTACATTCAAGTAATTTTATACACCTTTCAACACAGTACTTGAAGTTGGAAGGCAAAAGAACATGAATAGGACTGTAGGCAAAAACAAAAGACCTCTCCACCCCTCCTCTTAAGAATTAACATAGAGCCCCCCACCCCATTCTGTCAGTGTCAGCCACTCCCTCCACACCCAGGACCCCAGAGAAGAGAGAAAGGAAAGGAGAGGATGGGCCACCTCAAGAAACTGAGTCATTAAAAAGTGACCAAATGAATTTCGGCTTTCAAAGTTAATGTGACAGTATCACATGTTATCTCCCCAGTGTGCGCTTCCCACCAGTAGCTGCCATTTCATTTCAGTGAATATTTCTTATGTATTTGATTTCGTGTTAGTTATCTATCTACCATATGGCTTCATTTCTTGTCCTAGGCACCTGGTACTGTGCTGTACAGCTTAAAAGAGACTTGGGAAATACAAATGGACTTTTCCAGTACTCCCCATAAAAGACTGCCCAGTTTTTAAAAATCCTCACCCAAGGGTATGTCCATTGATTTTAGAGAAAGGAAGGGGGAAGAGAAACATCAATGTGAGAGAAAGCTATCTATTGGTCACCTCCTGTACGCATCCAAATCAGGGGGATTGGACCCGAAACCCAGGTATGTGCCCTGACCGGGAATAAAACCCAGAACAATTTGGTATATGGGACAGTGCTTCCAACCAACTGAGCCACATGGCCAGGAAGGGTTTGTTGCTTGTTGTTTTTTTTTGTTTTTGTTTTTTTTTTAACTGTGTCAGTGTTTAAAATCTATAATAAAAAAAGCGTAATATGCTAATTAGACCGGATGGCCGAACGACCTTCCGGATGACCTTCCAGACAAAGCCGGGGCTGCAAGGGCCGCAGCTGTGAGGGCCAAGCCCCTTGCACGAATTTCGGGCCTCTAGTTGTTCTATATTTGCTGTGTCAAACAAATGACCACACTTGGTGTGCAGCCTCTTGTTTTACCTTCTCAAAATAGTATTTAAGCCCTATAACGTCAGTCTAGCCTTGACATCTTTTAGTTCTATTTTTAAAGTATTTCTTCTCACCCCCCTTTGTATGTTCTTAGAATTAATGATCACACCTCCTTTCTTATCCATTAGTATTAACCTTCATGGTCTTATTAATTCAGGGGCTGGTCTCTGATTTCCTTGGCAATATGCCATCTCCTTCAAAACCCATCTCCTTCAAGTATTAATTTCTGCTTTTAACACAAACTTCTAATGACAGGCCTGCCTGCTTGAGCTCCTTTAATTATTCAGTAGGTATTTATTGTCTACTAAGCACCAGGCACTGTTCTAGGTTTTGAAGACTCAACAGTTAATGCTCAAAATTCTAGTCCTCATGGAGTTCATATTGTAGCATTTACCAGAGACACGTAGTAAAAAGAACTAAAACACGTGCTCTTTGTTTTTTTAAAATATATTTTTATTGATTTCAGAGAGGGAGAGGGAGAGATAGAAACATCAACGATGAGAGAGAATCACTGATTGGCTGCCTCCTGCACTCCCCACACTGGGGATGGGGATCGAGCTGGAGCAACTTCGCAACCCGGGCATGTGCCCTGACCAGGAATGCAACTGTGACCTCCTGGTTCATAGGTCAGTGCTCAACCACTGAGCCATGCCAGCCCGGCTAAACCATGTGCTCTTCGGGTCAGTATTTGAAAGGGGTAACTAACGGAGGATTCCGTGAATGGATGCTGGTGTATATTTTCATGTGGTGAAAGTGCTTGATAATCTGTGAAACACCCCAAATTCGGCCCCCTAACTCTGCAAACACGTGATGGCCCCCACGCTCTGATTTGACAGGTTACCCGTTGGCTTCCTCCTTAGCTGGACAAGGACCAATAGATGACTAGCGTCTCCCTGGGAGTTAAGAATTGGAGTTGACACCTTCTTGTCCCCCAGCTGGGAACAAGGCACCACAAACTGCAACTCAGGGATCCCCTTGGAGCCCTGTCCTGTGCACCCAAAGGCTGCTGGGCTGAGCCAGGCCCGGCACGTGCCTCGGTTGCAGGTTTGATCGAGGTGGGGGCAGGTAACGGAGGAGACTGATGGATGTTTCTCTCGCTCGGCCTCCCCCTTCCTCTAAAAACTAGTGAAATCATAACCGTGGGTGAGGATTGAAAGAAAACGTTACCAAGTCCTTTAATAAGCAGGCAGGCGGCCTCAGCATTGGCAGGTGTAACGAGTTCCCCAAGTGATGCTGGAGATAAAATGTTTGAAAAAATCACAAAGATGTTGGCTGGACGAGATCGGAGAACACTAGACACTGAGAAAAGTTCCTGAGAGGCAAGACCAAGCTCCGTGGGAGGCTGGGCGGGGAGAAGAGCGGACAGAGAAGGCGGCACTCTTCCGGGAGGTCTCCTCCCGACGAACATCGCTCATTACCCCGCATCCCTCACACCGACAACGCCCCTCCACCGTCGGGGCCCCCCGTTCCCAGGGCTGTTCCCGCGATGTGGCCCGAGCCTGGGACGGAGGTGCCACCATCCTAGGCTGGCGAGGGGCGTGCCTCCACGCGAAGCGAAAGCTGGCAAAGCGGTTTCCGCTGCCAGCACCCAAGATGGCGACACCAGCGTCGCCACCACACGGAACACATGCTCTGTACTCCGCTTCGACCCGCCCCTCGGGTCGCACTGGACTTTTGCAAGTCACCGTAGGAACCCTCAAAGGGGGGATCCCGCGCTTCGGCGGCGACACTACCTCCCAGTCCGAGGCCCTTCTCCCCAGGCCGAAGAAGGCCCTGGAAGCGCTCAGCCTGCACAGTTTACTCCGCACCCAGCTCGTAATACCCCCTGTGGCCGGCGCATGGCCGAGGGGGCCCGATGCTGGGGGTGAGAGGGCCCTTCGCCCCACTTATTGGAGGGCCCACGCCGTGGGGGCGGGCTTACACGTCCATTGGGCCGTGAATCATGCCCGTCTTGGGAAATGGGGAAAAGGAGGCGGAAGAAACTCAGCCATTGGGCCTCCTCTACTGTCAATCAACGTGACATCCGGCGACGGCCACGGTCTCGGCTCGTTGATTGGAGAAACGTGTTGGCCGCGGAGGGCGGGCTTGCCAGTGAGGTGGGAGGAGGAGGCGGGGAGGGAAGCGGAGGCTGGGGAAGCTCTAGGCAGGCCGGCCGGCGGCGGCGGCGGCTGCGGCAAGG